GCGCCAAAATACTGTTTGCTTACTGTTGAAAATTACCTAGGGCCGCCTCTGTACAGAAGGGATGGCAAGGGAGTCTCAACCTTTTCTTGCTTGTGATAAACATCCCTATTCTCGCATAGGGGCACCAGATAGAATTTATCCTCAAGAAAGTGCTTTGGAGGAATAAACTTACATTAACATTAATCCGTAGTCTTAATTCAGGCAGGAGTTGTCCCTTATACTGTACCTGTACTACTAAAAGAAATGTAAGATTATCTTCCCTACTTCATTGGACTTTATAAAAGTGTTTTTTCTATAGATGCTCCATTGCTGCACCAAAGAGAGAATAATATTCTCTGCCCCATCTTCTTAAAGATAGCAGCCACCAGAACAGAAAAAGAGTACAACATTCAGCCATCTTGCCAATACATTATTTTGTGCACATTGTTCCTTAGGATTTGTAGACCACATTTGAAACTGCTGCCTCTGAGAAAGTAGTGAGTGCCAAATAATCTGGCAGTGACCAAGTTTGATTATTCACATAAATGTACAGATATGCGTGTGTATATAATTCACAGTGGGTCTTAACCCAATGGTTAACAAAACTCCACTGTACTACATCAGAACTCATCTTGAGTCCTACATCTTTCTGTAGGGTGTAACTGCAAAAAATGTATCCAAGACTAACACAGATACTATAACAATATCACTAAAATCTTGTTTGAAAAATCAATATGTGTATTTAAAAAATTCCAGGACAACAATATCTTACGCTAATGAAAGAGGAAGTAGTACACTTACCAAGAGACTAGAGCAGCCTTCATATTGCCCTTTCTATCACTCTATAGATTCTGCTGCTAAAGTGGACTCCAGTTCATCTGAGAACCCAGAAGACACAGAAGACAATGAGGAGTTTCTAGAGAAGCTCATGTCCATTACCTCAGACAGCTTACCTCAGCTGGAGATCGAGGAGAGGTACAGCGTCACTAAGGAACTAGGGAGTGGCTCCTATGGACACGTTCTAGAGGTTCAGCACCGTGAGAGAGGTAAGAATCTTTAGGAGCCATTCCAGAATAGCCTTTGAAAGGAAATATATTTTCTTCTTACTAACTTTGGAAGCATTGCTACAGAGACTTTCTCTGTATTTTTGTCCATCCTGAACAACAGGATGGACAAAGGCAAATGGAAACAGGAGTGAATGACCACTGGAATGATTGTAACAGTTTTCTACCATGTCAACTGTAATAGCTGCATCCTACAGAATCCTGTGATACTTTTCTGCTAGAGAGTTCTCACCCACCTCCCAGATTCAGTATGACCCATATCTGGGGGTTTGGTATCCCTGATTTCATTTATCCATGACTAAAAAGTACTCTCTTGGGATTTTCTAGGTCCCACCAAAGGTATCTCTGTGGTATTGTTGTGCAGGAGGTCCTTCATTTCAGTAAGGTTCATTATCAACCACTCTTTATTGAGTAACTGCCAAGTGCTTTCCCTTCTTTTTCCTTATATTTTTCTACACGCAAGAACTGTTAAAGAGGGGGCAATCTCAGAGGAGATGAATGTTGTCTTTTGAATTATAGCACTACAAATCTTCATCTAGAACAGTGTTTCTCAACCTGAGGGTTGGGATCCTTGGGGGGGGGGGGGTTGCGATGGGGTGTCAATGGGGTTGCCAAAGACCATAAGAAAACACAGTATTTTCTGTTGGTCATGAGGGTTCTGTGTGGGAGGTTTGGCCCAATTCTATCATTGGTGGGGTCTAGAAAGGTCTTTGATTGTAGGTGAACTATAAATCCCAGCAACTACAAATCCCAAATGTAAAGGCCCATTTCCCCCAAACTCCACCAGTGTTCACATTTCAGCATATTGTGTATTTGTGCCAAGTTTGGTCCAGATTCATCAAGATGCAGGTGAACTACAACTCCAAAATTCAAGGTCAATGCCCTCTAAACCTTTCCAGTATTTTTGGTTGGTCATGGGAGTTCTGTGTGCCACGTTTGGTTCAATTCCATTATTGGTGGAATTCAGAATGCTCTTTGATTGTAGGTGAACTATAAATCCCAGCAACTGCAACTCCCAAATTGCAATATCAACGCCCCCCCCCCACCTCACCAGTATTCAAATTTGGGTGTATCAAGTATTTGTGCCAAATTTGGCCCAGTGAATGAAAATAAATCGATATTTACATTACGATTCATAACAGTAGCAAAATTACAGTTATGAAGTAGCAACAAAACTAATTTTATGTTTGGGGGTCACCACAACATGAGGAAGTGTATTAAGGGGTCGTGGCATTAGGAAGGTTGAGAACTACTGATCTAGAAGTTCCCAAAATGCCAATGTTTGAAGTTCTTTGGTAAAATATTCAAGAATAGTTGATTTCACCACACAGAAATAATTGTGACAAATGGGAGGCAGACCTGATTAAATAAGGACTATCCTTGCCTCCAAGTTGAAGTTGATCTTAACTTTGGAGAGGACCTACTCCAGTATCGCATAAAAGTACTGGGATAAAATCCTGACTTAACTTAAATCCTGACTGAGGCTCACTAGCAGCTCAGACCAGCCCAAGCTGCTCCCTTGACCTCCTTTGGCACACATGTCATGTCATTAATTAGTTGTGTTATCCCAGGCATGCGGGCAGCTGCCAACAAGCAGGTGCCGTGTTGGCCAGGCCAGGCCCAGCATCCAGGGTAGCAAGCCAGCCAGCTACACAGCTGGAAAAATAAGACGTTAAGGAAGGAGACAACCCTGTCTGCACAAGCCTTCAACAGAATGTCAAACTGCACAAAAGATTCAGACCAAATCCCAGGACAGGAAAAGAAACAACCTCTCCTCCTTGCCCAAATGAACTAGGACTTCCTTCACTACAGTGAGCTGGTTTCACAGTGCCACCTTCTGGGAAATAACTAGTAAACAGTCACTTATTTTTTGAAAACAAGCAAATGTGTGGCCTCAAGCTTCCATCCATAGAACACCTTCGGACTAGAAAGTTCATGTGAGGGGCAGCTGTGAAGATGACCTAGGGCATATCTACATGGTAGAATTAATGCAGTTTGACACCACTATAATTGCCATGGCTCACTATATGGAATTCTGGATATGTAAGCGAGGATTTGACCTCTGGTTTCCAGAATCACAATCCAGCACTCAAGCCACGGCATCACACTGGCTCTCCAGTTTAATGTTCTGCTGCATGCATTCATCGGAACCAGCCATATATATATTGATTTCTGAAGGGGAACTCATTCCACATATAGGAATGAATAGACTGCATGTTGAATCTTAATTCAGTATAGGTTGTGGGATGGTATTGCTGGTAGAATATAAATTTAGGGGATGTGAACAAACTGCGTGGCACACATCCATCTCTGTCATTCATGAAGAAATAATGTCAGGAAAACTCAAGAAAAGAACAGTCAAAACTGCAACTTCTACCCAAACTATCTGAGTCGTTTGCATCACTCCACCTTATGCTAGGGGTGGCAGCTGCCATATTTATTTTACTGGTTCTATTCCTTATCTTTTCAGGTAGCCTGATAACACAATCTATAAATGACACTTTTCAGGTTGAAAAATTCATGATGTCAGGACCATTATCAGTTAAATTTCTCTGGTTTCCCCCCACAAAGCTGTTAGTACACGTTGAAGTCGTTTAAGTGTTGAACTACAACGTTGGAGACCCACTGGGTGACCTTGGAGAAGCCCACCCTGTCAGTCCCAGAAAACCCTGTAATAGATTTGCCTTAGGGTTGCGATACATTGGAACTGATTTGAAGGTGCACTATGACAGCACTATGTTTAATCCTGTGTTATCACTGTGTTTGAAATTTTGGGCAGTTTGTCTACAGTTTATGGTGAATTTCAGAGAGGTTTCTCCCTCAATGCAACATTACTCATCTGATGCAGGTGGTAAGCCTTTTTATGGATTATGTGAAGCCTCTGGTTGTTAGACAACCGTTAGGCAGAAATTTGGGGTGTATACTGGTACAACTGTTGTGATTATAGGTACCTAGGCATCACCTGATAGTCATCTACTGACATTTTGCCTTGTTTGCTTTCAGGGACCTTAATGGCGCTGAAGATAATGTTGAAGGAGCGCACAGGGAGACGAGAGTTTCTGCGGGAATATTGTATCTCTCTCTGTCTTTCCTCACATCAGAACCTTGTTCGGTCCAGTGGTAGTGCTTTCGAGACATCCACACATTACGGATTTGCACAAGAGCTGGCACCAGCTGGTGACCTCTGCGCTATTCTGAATTCAGGGGTATGCAAGAGGCAAAGATTTTTCGGGAGCCTATGAACTTAGTAGAGTAGCACACAAAATGGGAAGGTCATGGAATTTTCCTTGAAGACATGTAGCGTGTAGGCATTGATAATATAAAATCATGGTACAAAAGGAGAACTTCCTCAGATGTGTCCAGCTTGCAACTTAATGACAGAAGTATATAGCAGTAAATGATGTGAATGTTCAAATGTCAGTTTTGGCCATAATCCTAAGGTGCCATAATACACAGTTCCATCACTACCTTTTATCTTATTAATATTTTAAAAAAACAAAACCTGCCCCAGTACTGAGCAGGTGATGATGATAGCAATTGAAGCATGCAAAAATGTTTGAGGGAATTCTTTGTGTCATCATAGGTACTAGTTAATCAGGGACATCTACTGTAGTCCTTCGTGGCAAAATTTAACTGTATGCAGATGATGTACAACTCTATTACTCCTTTCCATCCTCTGCTAAGGATGCTGTTCAGGTCCTGAACTGGTGCTTGGCGGCTGTGACAATCTGGATTAGGGCAAACAAATTGAAATTGAATCTAGACAAGACAGAGGAACTCCTGCTCAGTCGTAAGGCTCAGCCTGTTCAGCCTGTTCCGGATGGGGTTATACCCCCCTGAAGACACAGGTTAACAGCTTGGGAGTTCTCCTGGATTCATCACTGAGCCTGGAACCCCAGGTAGCCAGGGGAGCTTTTGCACAATTAAAACTTTGCACCAGTTGTGCCCAAATCTTGGGAAGTAAGACTTGGTAATGGTAGTCCACACTCTTGTTACATCTTAAATAGACTACTGCAATGTGCTCTATATGGGGTTATCTTTGAAGACTGTTTGAAAGCTTCAAGTAGTCCAACTGGCAGCAGCCAGGTTGATCACCAGAGCAGCGTAAAGGGAACATACAACTTCCCTGTTACATCAGTTCCACTGGCTGCCAGTCTGCTACCGAGCATAATTCAAAGCGCTGGCTTTAGCCTATAAAGCCCTAAATGGTTCTGGCCCAGCTTACCTGTCTGAACGTATCTCCCTCTACAGGCCCGTAGCCAGGATTTCGTTTCGGGGGTGGTGGGGGGGTGGGTTGAATTTTTTTAAGGGGGGTTGGGGGGGCTGAGTTTCGGGGGGGGGGGCTGAGTCTGAGTGAAAGAGGGTCTACCCTAGCAAACCTTTTGTATCATTACCCCAATACCCCCATGCATATGGGATATATTGAGAATGGTGATCAGATCATGATATGAATAAACATAACAGTTTAAATAATGCACCAGTAAGGCCTTTTCGTGAACCACCGTGAAAATTTTGGGGAGCCCCCCCCCCCGGCTACATGCCTGTCCCTCTATGAACTACACTGTAGGTTAAGATCTTCTGGGGAGGCCCTGCTCTTGGTCCCACCTCCTTCGCAGGTATGGTTGGTGGGGACGAGAGACATGGCCTTTTCAGTGGTGGCTCCTTGGCTGTGGAACTCCCTCCCAAGCAAAATTAGATCAGCCCCCTTCCTCCTGATATTTAGAAAGAAATTAAAAATGTGGCTGTGGGACCAAGCCTTTGAATAATAATTCAGTGCAATAAGTGTACATAGAATAAGTGCAATTATCACTGGAATGTCTCCTGGACTATGATTTTGGATTTTGTGATTTTAATTGCTGGTTTTAATGTGTTTTAACTTTTTGGTTTTTAAAGTATATGTTTTTATTTGTATGTCTATTTTCGTGGCATTGAATTGTTGCCTATTTGTAAGCTGCTCTGAGTCCCCTTCAGAATGAGAAGGGCGGGGTATAAATATAGTAAATAAACAAATAAACAAACCACACCTCACAACCAATCACAACCAAAGGTTACATTTCCAGCAATCACAGTGAAAACCCTTTGAGATTGGGTCCACCACCGTGCTAAACATTGAACTTCCAGTGTCTGTTCTATAGGTCGTACTTTCCTTTCAATCCCCTTTCTCTTCCTCAACAGGAGGGCCTTCCTGAAGCACAGGTGAAGCGCTGTGCAGCCCAGTTGGCTGAAGCTCTGGATTTCATGCATGGCAAGGCTTTAGTGCACAGGGACATAAAGCTGGACAACGTGTTGCTTTATGATAGAGAGTGTCATCGTGTGAAGCTGGCTGACTTTGGTCTGACACGACTGGAGGGCACAAAAGTCGCTGCCATGTCTGGCACCTTGCCTTATTCCCCACCTGAGCTATGCCTGCTTGAAGGCACAGAGACCTTATCCTTGGACCCCAGCCTGGATGTCTGGGCCTTTGGGGTGCTGCTCTTCTGCCTCTGCACTGGCTGTTTCCCTTGGGATGTAGCAATGAGTCCTGACCCTCAATTTGAGGAATTTGTCATCTGGCAGAATCGCACAGTGCCAGGAGAGACTCCAGGCCAGTGGAAAGGATTCACTACTCATCTCTTGGGGATGTTCCGCCGCTTAATGACCATTGATCCTGATCGTCGTAGTCCTGCTATTGAAGTACATAAATACTTACGTCTGCCTTGGCGTGTGAACACAAATGGGGGTACACAGATTCCCCAAACTGATGCTCTCAAAGGAGGAGATGCAGATGACTTCTCCAGTAACCCATCTGAGGACGATATTGGCCTTGGCAGCAACTCCAAGGAGAATTGTATTGGGCAAATACAGCCAGACCTGATTATCTCAGAGAAAACACACATCATACAAATGGGTACCAGTTCTGGAAACAATTGTAGTCCACAGAACGGCTCAAGACTAATTGAGCCTGGGCTCCAGCCCTGAAGAAAGCTTTGGAAGACAATGCAATTCCCCTCCATGGACACATCAGAGGCAGTTGAAAGGCCCATGTTCAAGCATGAGGACTTAGCAGTAGTTTGACTAACTAACTAAGCAGAAGCTTCCAGAAAACTGAGTGAAATGTCACCTCCCCACTTTATCTGTTGGTTAGGCAGAGTAGTACTAGCCACTCAGTAGAGATTGCTTTGCTCTGTGGGCAGAGAGCTGGTGTTGGTTGGAACATGCCACATTTAGGGATGTCAATCTTCCTTTATTTCATTTTCACATAACCAAGAGCAGGTAATTTGCAAAAAAATTTGCCTCTTCCAGACAAGATTATGTGAGTTTTTGCACAATTTTGTTGATTTTTCACATTTCTGGACTTTTTTTGTATGTGCAAAAAATTCATTTTCACACAGACAATGTTTTTTTATGGAGTAGCTAGACACTATTATCAGGTCATAGAAATTCAATGTTTTCTATTTGCAGTCTTTCCCCTGTATCCACAGGTTCTGCACCCATAGATTCAACAACCCATGGCTTCATTTTTTTTAAACCCATAAAGGAAATCTTGATTTTGCCATTTTATATAAAGGTCAGCCTTGTATTACACCATTGCATACAACAGAACCCAAGGATCCACCAATTTGGGTATCTACAGGGAGTTGTGGATCCAAACCAAAGCAAACACCAAGAGCCCATTGCAAGGTTCAAAAGTCAAATAGATTATATGTATGTCAGGCCCATTGCCCCCTAAACTTAACCTCCAGGGCCAGTATGCTCTTAATCTACAAAGTGTTAACTAAGTAAGCAACTTATTTTTGCTCATGCAGTTGTCCTTTATCACTAAATCACCAGGCATGATATACCTTAATGTAGTAAGAGATTATGGGCAGTGAAATCCTTTGTTATTTTAGTGTTTGTTTATTGGTTAAGGCCTACAGCATGGCTGGTCTGAACGATAATGGCGCTATGTCTAAATCCTCATACATCAGTGGTACTCAAGAGTTGTAGTCAGTCAATTTGCCTGCTCTGTGAGCTGTTGGTTGCTGGACTACAGCAAGTTTCCAGAATGAAAAAAACAACAACATACACCTGTAGTCAATGGAAACTAAAATGGTGCCAAACCCCCTGCTAGCCTCCATATCAGGTAGCTTAAGAAGCATTGTACAGTTTTAATGAATCAGAAACCATAAAGGAGGCACAAGTGTGAGCAAGACACCTTTAATTAAAGCTTGAACAAATTAAGGGACTTCCTTGTGAGTATATATTATAGAAAGATGTTACCAATTGAGTGAAATATTTTTATGTATTACATAATGCTAGTAAAGTGCAATATGGAAACTTTGTTTAAATGCTGCTTCCTCTTCTAGGGTTCTGAGCTTTGTGATAAAAGGAAGATAGATACACAAATCTTGGTCAGTATAATAAAATATTGATTTGTGAAATAGAATACCATGCAAGATATTGTATGTATATTAATGTTATTGTATCATTGTTGAAATTTCTATAATAAATTTTTAGCAACAAAACTGGCTGTGTGGTTAACTGAATTCCAGATTATTTCAAAAAATACTCTAGTGAGAACAACATCCCTATCCCACACTTGGATGCTTGGATGATACAACATATAGCATGAAGGCAATGGTTTTGCCTGTTTTCATCTTTCACTACCCTATGCAGCATGAAATGTGTGAGGGTTGTACTGAAAGTACTGCCTGTCGGGTCAACTCTCCTTTAGTAACAACATAAGACATATTGTAACCCCATGTCTGCAACATAGTCTTATTCAAAGTAGTCCCCAACTTGAATTTGTGTCACCTTTGAACCCACTCATCAAATCTACTTTGGAAAAAGAAATATTTTGGTCACTTCCTGTTCCAATGTCTGAGATCATCTTCTGCTTTGTCTACATCATTGAAGGACCATCCCTGAAGCCTTTTCCCCATCAGGTGAAAGTGTGAGGAGAGCCAAATTGGGCCCAAATGATGGCTGTGGCACTACTGCTGCTCAATTTGTATGGGAACCTGTGAAATTCCCAAAAACTGTGGAGTTGTGCATTAGTGTATTGCAAATTGATGGTTTTTTTTCTTATGGGTGGCTTCTCAAAGTTTCCACCATTAGTGGAGACTGCTTTGAAAAGCACCATGTTTTAAACAAAAAATTACTTGATTAAAAAAAAATTATTTGATTTATATGCCACCCTTCTCCCAAAGCGAGATGCATGGCAGTTTTCATATACAGTTATGTTTTTAATCAGGGAATTATTATGACCTGACAGGCTTGACTCTTGAATGAGTAAAGATTTAGTATTGCCCAAGGCAGTATAATGCCACTGTAGTTGGCTCCAGCACTAGTATGGGAATATGATATAACACAATCTATAAATGAGTTTGGATATCCAAATGAATGTTTCATTCAACTTGTGTTAGTGTCTACCTCTGCACCTCTTTCAGAAGAAACATGTACAGCACGATGGTTCTACTAGGTTATTATGACAACATCCTATGAAATCTTAGGATTTGCAGTTTGGAAAAGGGTATTTATATTTCTGAAATGCCACAAGATTATAAACCCCAGAATCCCTAGGATGTAATCACACCAGTTGCAGAGGAATTGTAGTGCTATATCAGATTGTGCAAGATCTCCCAAACAGCAGTAAAAGGAGTTTCAGACTCTAGTCACATTACTTCCTCCCCCTTCTTAACACTCCTATATGTGTAAGAAGTTTGCAGGCTCCAATAGATATACAAGCAGCCCTCCATATTTGTGGTTTAACTTTTGTAGTTGTGTAATTTTTTAAAATCTGTAATCCAGAGTTTTCCCAGGCCAGCACTGATTTACTTACTTGTATTTTAGTACCAGTCAGTTCTTCTCTTTGCAGAGTCAGCAATTTATTCGAAAGTCAAAAGTCAGAAGTTTTATTTGACTTTTAGGCTCTTCCGAACGAACCTATCCAACCCTAATAGCTACATTGTTAATGATTGTGGATTATCTCCATGGCTGTGAAATCCTTCTTTCCAGATATGAAATACAATCTATTCAGAGTGGGTCTCAAGCAAATTTCCCTCTGTCAAATAATAATGGAGAAGATATGAGTAAGGAAATAGTCAACACTAGGAAGAGGACTAGGACACTTGAAATTAATGGCATCAGATCGCAGGCTAACCTATGCTACCTCATGGCAGCTATGATAGCACTTTAAGGGAGCCCCTAGTGGCACAATGGGTTAAACCCTTGTGCCAGCAGCACTAATGACCGACAGCTCAGTGGTTCGAATCTGGGGAGAGTGGGTTGAGCTTCCTCTGTCAGCTCTAGCTCCCCATGTGGGGACATGAGAGAAGCTTCCCACAAGGATGGTGTAAACATCAAACATCCGATGTCCCCTGGGCAACATCCTTGCAGACGGCCAATTCTCTTGCTCCAGAAATTTCCTTCCATGAGTCACTATAGCTTCCTCTCTGAATGGAGCCACTCTAGGGACCATCTATGAGTGACCAAATAGAGCCTGTATATCTAAAATAACCTCCAGCAAAGGATCACCGCCTTGTCGGGGCGCTGGAGCTTGAGTACCTCAATGATGTCATGAGCGAAACCGTGAAGGGACACCCAAGACGGGACGGTTGTGGCAGAGAGGTCAGACCAAGCGTGATCCCTGGGGAAGGCAATGGCAAACCACTCCAGTATCCTTGCCAAGAAAACTAAATGGACCAGTACAACCAGAGATATGTCGGTATGCCATTGGAAGATGGGACTCCCAGGTCAGAAGATGGCCAAAATGCTACTGGGGAGGAGCAGAGGATAAGTTCAACTAGCCCCAGATGTGATGACGCAGCTAGCTCAAAGCCGAAAGGAAGGCTAGCGGCCGACGGTACTGGAGGTGAACGACGAATCCGATGCTCTAAAGATCAACACACCATAGGAACCTGGAATGTAAGATCTATGAGCCAGGGCAAATTGGATGTTGTTATTAGTGAGATGTCAAGACTAAAGATGGACATTCTGGGGGTCAGCGAACTGAAATGGACTGGAATGGGCCACTTCACATCAGATGACCACCAGATCTACTACTGCGGACAAGAGGAACATCGAAGAAATGGAGTAGCCTTCATAATTAATAAGAAATTCGCTAAAGCAGTGCTTGGATACAACCCAAAAAATGACAGAATGATCTCAATTCGAGTGCAAGGAAAGCCTTTCAACATTACAGTGATCCAAATATATGCCCCAACCACAGCTGCTGAAGAAGCAGAAGTAGATCAGTTCTATGAGGACCTGCAGGACCTACTGGATAATACACCAAAAAGAGACATTATTTTCATTACAGGAGACTGGAATGCCAAGGTGGGAAGTCAAATGACAACTGGGATCACAGGCAAGCATGGTCTGGGAGAACAAAATGAAGCGGGACGCAGGCTGATAGAATTTGGCCAGGAAAACTCGCTGTGTATAACGAATACTCTCTTCCAACAACCTAAAAGACGGCTTTATACATGGACCTCACCAGATGGTCAACACCGAAATCAGATTGACTACATCCTTTGCAGCCAAAGGTGGCGGACATCCATCCAGTCGGTGAAAACAAGACCTGGGGCTGACTGTAGCTCAGATCACGAACTTCTGATTGCCCAATTTAGAATAAAACTAAAGAGATCAGGGAAAATACACAGACCAGTTAGATATGATCTCACTAACATTCCTAGCGAATATACAGTGGAAGTGAAGAACAGATTTGAAGGACTAGATTTAGTAAACAGAGTCCCCAGAAGAACTATGGACAGAAGTCCGCAACATTGTTCAGGAGGCGGCAACAAAGTACGTTCCAAAGAAAAAGAAAACCTCCAATAGATATACAAGCAGCCCTCCATATTTGTGGTTTAACTTTTGTAGTTGTGTAATTTTTTAAAATCTGTAATCCAGTTTTCCCAGGCCAGCACTGATTTACTTACTTGTATTTTAGTACCAGTCAGTTCTTCTCTTTGCAGAGTCAGCAATTTATTCGAAAGTCAAAAGTCAGAAGTTTTATTTGACTTTTAGGCTCTTCCGAACGAACCTATCCAACCCTAATAGCTACATTGTTAATGATTGTGGATTATCTCCATGGCTGTGAAATCCTTCTTTCCAGATATGAAATACAATCTATTCAGAGTGGGTCTCAAGCAAATTTCCCTCTGTCAAATAATAATGGAGAAGATATGAGTAAGGAAATAGTCAACACTAGGAAGAGGACTAGGACACTTGAAATTAATGGCATCAGATCGCAGGCTAACCTATGCTACCTCATGGCAGCTATGATAGCACTTTAAGGGAGCCCCTAGTGGCACAATGGGTTAAACCCTTGTGCCAGCAGCACTAATGACCGACAGCTCAGTGGTTCGAATCTGGGGAGAGTGGGTTGAGCTTCCTCTGTCAGCTCTAGCTCCCCATGTGGGGACATGAGAGAAGCTTCCCACAAGGATGGTGTAAACATCAAACATCTGAGTGTTCCCTGGGCAACATCCTTGCAGAAGGCCAATTCTCTCATGCCATAAATGACTTGCAATTTCTCAAGTCACTCCTGACACACACACACAAAATTAACACCAACGATAGCCACTTCTGATGCATTTTAATTGTTTTATAGGGTACATGATTTAATGTTAATTAATGTTATTAACTCCAGCAAAGGATCACCGCCTTGTCGGGGCGCTGGAGCTTGAGCACCTCAATGATGTCATGAGCGAAACCGTGAAGGGACACCCAAGACGGGACGGTTGTGGCAGAGAGGTCAGACCAAGCGTGATCCCTGGGGAAGGCAATGGCAAACCACTCCAGTATCCTTGCCAAGAAAACTAAATGGACCAGTACAACCAGAGATATGTCGATGCCATTGGAAGATGGGACTCCCAGGTCGGAAGATGGCCAAAATGCTACTGGGGAGGAGCAGAGGATAAGTTCAACTAGCCCCAGATGTGATGACGCAGCTAGCTCAAAGCCGAAAGGAAGGCTAGCGGTCGACGGTACTGGAGGTGAACGACGAATCCGATGCTCTAAAGATCAACACACCATAGGAACCTGGAATGTAAGATCTATGAGCCAGGGCAAATTGGATGTTGTTATTGGGGAGATGTCAAGACTAAAGATAGACATTCTGGGGGTCAGCGAACTGAAATGGACTGGAATGGGCCACTTCACATCAGATGACCACCAGATCTACTACTGCGGACAAGAGGAACATCGAAGAAATGGAGTAGCCTTCATAATTAATAAGAAATGATCTACTACTGCGGACAAGAGGAACACCGAAGAAATGGAGTAGCCTTCATAATTAATAAGAAATTAGCTAAAGCGGTGCTTGGATACAACCCAAAAAATGACAGAATGATCTCAATTCGAGTGCAAGGAAAGCCTTTCACATTACAGTGATCCAAATATATGCCCCAACCACAGCTGCTGAAGAAGCAGAAGTAGATCAGTTCTATGAGGATCTGCAGGAACTACTGGATAATACACCAAAAAGAGACATTATTTTCATTACAGGAG